TCGCCAACGTGATCACGTTGGCACCGTACCAAGTAAAGAAGAAAAGAAAGAGCATATTGGAGAAGACAAACAGAAAGAGGAAGAAGAAGAAGAAGAAGAAGACATTGAGACGAGGAGAAGAAGGAAGCGTGAAAAGAATCAAAAGAGAAAGAAAAGGATATATTGATCAGAGAAGGCTTATAGGAAAAGAAGAAGGAACCATGTAGGTAGAATCAAAACTGATATTATTTCGATTCATGTTTTCTATCTTTGTTGTTTGTTTTTTAACAAGTTGTTTCGTACTGTTGCGTTCCTAAACTGTATGAGTCTCTTATCTCTATATATCTCACACATATAACATGTGAGTCGAATTCTTTTTTTTTTTTTTTTTAACCTCAGGAGGAGTACCATCTAGCGATTATAACTACACCAATAGCTCTTATCAAGTCTCCCTTTTCTCTCTTCATCTTCAAAATCACGGTTCCATTATCCATGTTCAAGTGAGTTAATTATATAATAAAGTGGGTTAATTTTTGTTTTTAAGTTGTAGAGGAAGGAAGTTATAAAATAAAATAAAAAGCTTCTTTGATTTTCTCTTATATATGTTAACTGCTTCTGTTTTCTAAGGTTTTTTGTCTCACCTATTCGGTTTTCAGAAAAATTGTCTCTTTTGTTTTGGTCAAGGATCTTTGGGATTTCTCAAAAAGGTATTGATAATTAAGAAGCAAAGGTACGTATATTAGGTAAGAAATTAGAAGATTTTATGATGTATAGGATAACCAATGGATTTTTATTTGAAGAATTAAAGTTTTGGAAATAATTTAGAGGATGTGAAATCCGGTGACCAGGTTATTTTGAAGCTGTTCACTTTGATGTCAAGTTCGTATGCTGGTGTTCCTCCGGTGCTGGAAGACACCATGGATCAGCCTGGATATGAATCTCCACGATCTTCTTTTGGTGGGATTTGTGTTGTCGTCTATTTGTTATATTTTAGATCTGGTATTATCTAATATTAAATTTTATTGTTTTGAAGGATATGTCCACTTCGTTGTTTCGTTGATCATCGCCATGTTCTAGCAAACATGTCATCGGGTGAATACGAAAGAGTAGGTTGGATGTGTGTAAACCCTAAGTTTTTATGAACCGGTTGGATAGGTAATTAATATTTTCATCATGGATTTAGATTAGGGTTCCAATGTTTCCCTCTTTAAAAGTTTGTAAACGTGGTATTTTTCTCCTTTTAGTCAAGCATACATCATTTCATGAATAAATTCTCCAAAAATATTAGGATTTGTTTCATTTGGGTATCTAAGGTTTCTTTTGTGATTCTTATTTGGAGGAAGCACTCGAATCCCAAAAGTTCAGTAGATGTTAAAGGATTTCTTCGATGGCAAGGAACCCAACAAAGGAACTAACCCTGATGAGGTTTTGGCCTATACAACCGCCGTCCAAGGTGGAGTATTAAGTGGTGAAGGTGGAGAAGAAACGCAAAGTAAGTGACTCTTTTTAACTCTCTTTATGACAATAGTTTAGACCATCTATAGTGTTTTCATGTTAGTCATGTATTTGAGTTGCAGAAAACCTAAATTTATTGAAAACAAATATTTTGCTACTTGATGTTGCGCCTTTGCACCTCGGTATTGACACTGTCGGAGGCGTGATGACAAACATTATTCCTCGGATCCCAACGAAGAAGTCTCAGGTGTTCACTACTTACCAAGATCAGCAAACTACTGTTACTATCAACGTCTATGAAGAGATAAGCATGACGAAAGATAACCCCGAGCTCGGAAATTTCCAGCTCACCGGCCTTCTTCCTGCACCTAGGTAAACTCTCTAATTCAATATTGGCTACTAAACCATTTCGGTTCTTGGTTTTTTAAAGACGCAAGGAACAGTTTTTCATGGGGGTGCCACAGATGGAGGTGACTTTCGAAGTGGACGCAAATGGGATTCTGCAAGTGAACACCGAAGACAAAGTTCCAAAGATGTCACAGTCAATTACAATAACGAACGATAAAGGTCGTTTGACAGGAGAAGAGATTGATGAAATGATTATATTAATTAGCTACGTATGAACTAGACACCGTTTTTTTTAGATAAGCATGACGAAAGATAACATTTATATTACCGAAAGGCACCGGCCTTCTTCCTGCACCTAGGTAAACTCTCTAATTCAATATTGGCTACTAAACCATTTCGGTTCTTGGTTTTTTAAAGACGCAAGGAACAGTTTTTCATGGGGGTGCCACAGATGGAGGTGACTTTCGAAGTGGACGCAAATGGGATTCTGCAAGTGAACACCGAAGACAAAGTTCCAAAGATGTCACAGTCAATTACAATAACGAACGATAAAGGTCGTTTGACAGGAGAAGAGATTGATGAAATGATTATATTAATTAGCTACGTATGAACTAGACACCGTTTTTTTTTTTTTGATAAAATGTGAATTTATATTACCGAAAGGAACATTGTTATATACAAAGGCTCTGGGGCAAAGAGGTACTATGACCAAAAAAAAAAGGAAAAAGCCATAGAAACTAAAACAACTAAGCAAAAGGAATACTTAGAGGAAACTAGGAATGAGCAAACCACTGGGATAGAAGTCGACCACAACCTTTGCGATACCGACGAGCGAGAAGTGTGTCCCTTATACTTCTATTAATTTGGGAAAAGACAGAAGCGGAGGAGGCTGAGATGTTATCATGAACTCTGATATTTCTTTTTTCCAAATGAAGAAGATAGTCGCGTGAACAACTAACCTCTTAAGAGTAGTAGCGTGAACTAAACACCGTTATACACATACGAAGACTTATTTGGAGAAGACATCTTCGCTAATACGTGTACGAATATGAACTTTGGCTGGTATTCGAGTGAGACATGTTGTGCATTTTTTAACTTTTGTTTTGTTATGAGTTGTGCGATATTTTAATAAATAGTTTATTGTCCATTATTAAACGGAGTCCATAATAATTTTTGTGATATATTTTTGTTTTGATCTTTAGTTTATAAATAAATATGTATATACATATATTATATATAATGTTATTATTGGTCATATTAATTACTAACGATAGTAGAATAAATAGTTTATTGAGGAAGTAAACCAAATTTATTTTGATAGTATATCGTAATGACTTAACCTTCCTTTATTATAAGTTTCAACTTTTTTTGTGTATTTTATAATTGTCTTTTGTAGAGATAATAAGAAATCCATTGGCATATTATCTCTCGCATTATTGTACAGTATTTTAAATTTTAAAATTATTTAATTAACAAATGTATGTTTCTTTTGTTAACAAAAAAATAGAAATTTAATTTGTGTGTAATAGAAATACAGATGGGTTGCCTACCAAAAAAAAAAAAGAAATACAGATGGGTTAAAAACTATTTTGCTCATCGTAAAATTATTATTAAGTAGTAAAATAATTAAACCATTTTAAGTTCTATTAATTTTTATGAGGATTATGGTAGTGCCACATATAAATGTTAATCTTATTAAAAATTAGAATCATTTAATAAAAATGTCATTGATAATCATTATCTAAAGATTGACTCTTTTTATTTCCGTAGATTTGTGTTCACTGATATGAAAAAAAAAACAGATGAACAAAGGGGTTTAACATTCAATGTAAGTTACTTGAGAGGGTTAAAACTTGATGTTACGATGGTAAACATAGAGCATAATACTTTAGCTATAACTTTGATGGGTGTGAAAGTTGTATTAGTGCTTCTATCAAGCGTCGTTTTAATAACTTTCATGAGTGTTTTTTTGTGTTAAATGAAATACAAAAATTCTTAAATACTTCAAAGGAGGATCAAAGTCAAAGTTATCACGATATTTATGTGCATTGTTTCATTGAATGAGATGGTAGAATTAGTCTTAGATCTTAAAGATTTTGTCTTTAAGAATGCACATATATCATTTGTAGTTTTATATGGGATCGTTTCGTAGAATATATTTATCTAAATATTATAGAAGAATGTTGAAAACTTTTAATTTATCTCGATGATTCCATTCGGCCGCGCCTTGAGAAGAGTTGAGGAGAAAGGTTTTGTAAAGAATCAGAGAGTTGAAAAAGAAAGAGACAGAGATATGGATAGAAATGGAAAGAGGAACGATATTCAATGTCATGAATGTCAAGGATATGTACATGTCAAAGCTTAGTGCCCCTCCCTGAAGAGAAAAGAATATATGCTCTGAGTGCAAAGGCATCATACACTCGAAATTTGACTGTGTGGGTTCTAGATCCAAGAAGGAAAGGTCCTACATTGTTGAAAGTGGAAGTAACTCTGAAGATGATGACTCGAAGATGAAGTGAAGGGTTTTGTATCTTTTGTGGAAATCATAGACGACGAAGGTGAAAGCTCTAACAGTGAAGCAGAAAAATTAATTGAAATGTAGCCAGCTCAACTGATGATGAATCAGACACTGTGAAGGATGTGGACATCCATGGACAGTTTAGAATATTGTATGACAACTGGTTCTTAATGAGTAAGGAGAAGGTCTCATGGATGGAAGAAAAGTTAACACTTCAAGGTTAGAAGGAGAAGCTCAAAGGAGGCCTAGCTCTGGAAATTAAGAAGAACAGTGAGCTGACTCAAAAGTGTGGTTTAGAGGGGAAAAACAAACAGAGCTCTCACACAAGACTTGAGTGATACTCGGAAGAAGATACACATACTGAATAGTGTGACAAAGGATCTGGATAACATCTTAGTGTAACACCCCGATTTCATGAATATGGTGGTGCATGCAGAAAGGCTTAAAAGAATTGATTTGGCCACCTATGTCACAAAAGTGCACTTATCTTTTCGTCAACTATCCTGAGAGAACTCCACAGTTAAGCATGCTTGAGCTTGAGCAATTTTAGGATGGGTGACCTTCCGGGAAGTGATTGTCGGAACTATGTGAGTGAAGATAAAACACAGGGAAAGATCATGTGGTGATTTGTAGGGTTGGTAAACAAGTCTTTAAAGCCTCCCGAACGTAGCAAACGGGCCGTCGGAAGATAGTGGACCCACATGCTGAGAGAAGACGTGGGTCCTATTAAGAGAGGTGGCGGTCGGGGCGTTACAAGTGGTATCAGAGCTGAACCCAGTCGAGTGTGGAGTCAAGAGAGCTCACACCGTCGGGGGTAACGGTCTTGGTGCGCAACGAGGACGTTGCGATCTGTTAGTAAGGGTGAATTGTAACACCCCGATTTCAGGAATATGGTAGTGCATGCGGAGAGGTTTAAAAGAATTGATTTGGCCTCCAATGTCACAAAAGTGCACTTATTTTTTCGGTCAACTGTCCTGAGAGAACTCCACAGTTAAGCGTGCTTGAGCTGGAACAATTTTAGGATGGGTGACCTTCTGAGAAGTTATTATCGGAACTGTGTGAGTGAGGACAAAACACAGGGAAAGATCATGTGGTGATTTGTAGGGTCGGTAAACAAGTCTTTAAAGCCTCTCGGACATAGCGAACCGGCCGTCAGAAGATAGTGGGCCCACGGGCCGAGAGAGGACGTGGGGCCCATTAAGTGAGGTGGCGGTGAGGGCATTACACTTAGGGTCTGGGAGAGTTGGAAAATCTAATTTTAGATTAGGCTATCATGGAGGTGAGACAAGTGGGAAGACAAATTTCGTTCCAAGAAAGGGTGTACATGCACGTCGTTATCAGTTTTTATTTCAAAACTACATTGGAGCTGTTCGAGCAAGACGTTTGCATCAGAATCATAACCATTATCACAGAGCAGTGACTGGGTATGAATGTTATTGATGTGGTTGTCATGGTCACATATAGATGTACTGCTACACATATGCAGCTAAATTGAAGAACCTAATGAGACATGGAAGGTTCTATCCACATTAGAGAAGAGAGTATAAAGTAAATGTTTGCAAAATCTGATATGTACTGCCATGTTGCATATACCTTAATTGAAAAAAGTATGACTAAGCTTTGGTACTTCGATAATGGAGCTTCTAGACATATCACATGGAATCAAGCCAATCTCAACAATTACACTGAAGTAAAAGAGAGCAAAGTCACGTTTGGTGGTGGAGAAAAGGAAAAGATTAAGGGCAAAAGAGACTTAACTGAAGCTAAAGAACCTCAACTCACCAATGTGTATATTGTTCAAGGATTAACAGTGAGCTTCAATAAAGTGAAATGTTGGACTACAGATGAGAAGAACCGCAATGCTCTCTCCGAAATCCGTACTGAGAACAATTGTTACATGTGGGAAAACCTAACTAAAACATGTTTTGGAGCTAAGAAGGATGATCTGGTGCTCTGCAATCAGCGACTTGGACACATGAATGCTAGAAGTCTCTCAAAGCTAGAGATGAAGATATCAACGACTTGGACACCTTAAATAGAAGCGATGCAAAGTGTTTTTGTTGGTAGAGATGATGATATTTAGTTCTTGACAATCAAAGACGAGATAAAAAAAATTGTGTCTCTCACCACTACGTATTAGTTGTTGCATTATGGTTTTTAAGATTACTATACCTTTGCTTATGTTAGGGTTTTTAATATTTCATTGGTTTTTAATAATTTTTTTATTTTTATATTATGTTTTCATATCAATGAAGAACATTTTTGATTTAATCAATAGGTCTTTATTTTATATAAATAATAATTTTTGATAATTTAAAAATAGCATTTGAGAAGACAATTTTTGAGTTTTTTTGTGTATAAAAACAATTAATATAATTTAAAATAACTGTTATTATTAATTATAACTTATTAATGGCGATCACATTGCAAATTTTGAATATGTAAATATGGTAAAAGATAGACTATTAACATTGTTTGTGAGCCATAGTTGATAAAAGTAATGGTTGATTTTATGTTTTTTTGTAAGTAATAGGATGAATCCAAACATCATAGTTTTATAATTTGGTATGGCATTACACAAAATTTTGTAAATACTATATGCCAAATTTATACTTGGTATAATATAATCATTAACAAAGTCTATAAACTTCCTTAATGTTTAGGCCTATAAAACACAATTGCATAAAGAATTATAAAAGAAGAAGAAAAAAAATTGTTGAATGGTTATTCTCCAAGCATAATCTTTCTCCGTTGTCAA